CTAGTAAAGCCATATCAATAAGAAAGGAATAGGACAGAGTTAGCATATTATTGTAGAGCATGTCAGTGGGGATTTGAGAAGGATGTTGGGGCAGGAATGGGGAGTGAAAGGGTCTAGTTCACTGAGAAGCTCCCATGTTCTTAACTAGTGGTGCCTTGCAAACAAAGAAGCCTAGGACTCTAACCCAGCCTCTATGTCTTATAAACAGAAAAACTTGAGACTGTTGCCCAGCTTCTAAAAGAGCGGCATGTCATGTATTATTAGTCTATTTTTATAGTGCTATGAAGAAATACCCAAGACTGAGTAATTTATAAAGAAAAAGAGTTTTAACAGACTCACAGTTCCACGTGGTTGGGGAGACCTCACAATCATGGTGGAAGGCAAATGAGGAGCAAAGGCACATCTTACATGGCGGCAGATGAGAAAGGATGTGCAGGGGAACTGCCCTTTGTAAAACCATCAGATCCCTGAGATTTATTTACTATCACCAGAACAGCATGGAAAAACCCATCCGATGATTCAATTACTTCCCACTGGATCCCTCCCATTACACATGGGGATTATGGGAACTACAATTCAAGGTGAGATTTAGGTGGGGACACAGTCAAACCATATCACAGCCTCATAAAAGAGCCAGAAGTTTCCACCTCAAATATCAAGTCCTTACCCCCACCCTCACCCCCCCAAAGAAAGACAAGACAATTTCAATCCATGAAGATTTTTGCCCAGAGCCTGGCGTTACAACCCATTCTTGAGAGGACATTCAGAATCTTAAAATCAAAATCCTTCTTACTGTGCTTCCATGGACTGTAATTTGGAGCACTGGATTGGATCAGGAATTGGACTCACCTCTCCTTAAATATTAAAGTGACTTAACAGGAGTTTTGCTACAACTGGGCTGGGCAGGGTCCAGGACAATGCCAAAGGACAAGGCCTCATAAAAGGAGGGATCAGAGGAGCCCGTCTAACATTAGGTCAAGGAGAGAGTCTCTGTCATGTGCAAGCCACCATATATTGAAAGTATCTAACTATCTGCCTTCCTATTCATGTGTACATTCATGTGCAAGTTAAAAAAAGAATTTTTATTCTTTGTTTAAAATATTATAAAAATATATATTCAATTAAAAGGCTTGGTAATAAATTCAGAGTTAATAATTTTAAATATAATCCATTTCCAATCTTTAAGCTAATAATATGTGGGCTGAAAAAAATGTAATTAAAGGCAACAAAAAAGAAAAAATATATTCTTAGCCGTGCATGGTGGCTCACGCCTGTAATCCCATCACTTTGGGAGGCCAAGGTGGGCAGATCATCTGAGGTTAGGAGTTCGAGATCAGCCTGGGCAACATGGCAAAACCCATCTCTAATGAAAATACAGAACATTAGCTGGGCGTGATGACACACACCTGTAATCCCAGCTACTTAGGAGGCTGAGGCAGGAGAATTGCTTCAACCTAGGAGGCGGAGGTTGCAGTGAGCCGAGATGGTGCCATTGCACTCCAGCCTGGGTGACAGAGGAGGACTCTGTCTCAAAAAAAAAAAAAAAAAAAGAAAAATTCTCAGAAAAGCTTTTTTAGACATATTTTGTTTTGTCATTTACCACCTAAACTAAAAAATGTGTTTTCCTCTGATATAAGAATGCAATAAAAAGATTTAATACAACCAAATGCTGCTAACCATCTTTAAAAGCTGCAATTACTTCATGTAATTCATTTTAATTTTGCTTAAATAAATAGTTATGCTTTCAGGGAAAGATATCTAATCTCTGAAGGAACTTTCTGACTCCTGATTCTGAAAGATATTTCTCAAACCAGAGTTTAAGCTTAAAGCTTCAGGACCAGTTTAAAAAAGCAAATTGTTCAACTTAAGGATAGCTAATTTGCATCTTGCACTTGATTTCTTAGGCTAAACCTGAGAATTCTAAACAGAGAGGGAACTCTGGCCTTTACAAAATACACATTATGGTTGGAAAAATGAACTATTTGTATTTACATATTTGAGTATTTTGAGTTTATCTTTGCAAAGAGTGCTAGCAACAGAAACAGGGGAAAAACATTTCCATTATCATTTTCTGCATGGGGATGATGACTAAACATGAGAGCCCAAACTTTGGTGTTTCCAATATAAGCAGTTTAGTAAATTTATATCACCTGTTGCAAGACTTCTCTTCTAATTACAATGGAACAGATTTTATGTTTGCAGCATGCAAATCTAAATTGTCCTTTTTAAAAAGTGTGTTGTATTTAAATAACTGTGATAAAAATATTTATGAATAATGAGAATATATAGATTTCTTACTTGACAAAATTATTTTTTCACACAGTATCTCTTACACTGGACATGTAATATAATACGTATTCAAAGAATATAATAGTTCAAAGAATAGGTTCTGAAGTTAGAAAGTTCAGGATTCGAATCCCACCTTTGTCATTTACTTACTTTGAGACTTTGACCATATCATTTAATCTTTTAGAGCATTATATTCATTATCTATAAAATGGTAACAATATCGCTTGTATGGTTGTCATAATGATTAAATGGAAAGATAATTGTTCAGCACTCAGTATCATGCCTAGCTATATTGAGTGCTCATTGTGAACATCAGTGGCAGCATCATTCTGCCAAAATGCATCTTACATCTGCAATTTTTTCTCATCAATATGAAGCAGGAATCTGTTATACTTTGGGCTATAACCTTCACATTATAGCTTCACTAATAGACCCTTGAAGCAGTATGCAGGAAGAAGCTTGGAAGGCCTCTCAGCTCATCTTTTGAAGCATTCAATTTTGTTTGCATTTATGTTTCAAAGATATTTGAGATATGAACAATGAAATGAGGAGTAATTTCTTGACCTCAAAACATCAAGAAATATTTCTGAAGTTTTCAAATTATACAATTATGTCAATTTGCATTTAGCAAAAATAAAGCCACATTCTTGTCTTTCTATAACTTGGTGTCAGGGAATTCCCAGAGGCCTCTCTCTGGAGCTTTTTTGCATACTAATGATGCAGTGGTTTAAATCACAGCACCAGCACCATCTATTGGGGAGTTTTTTTCCTGAAACAAATGTTTCTGCAATTTTGGAAAAACATAACCAAACAAATTTAGGTTCATTTCAATTCTCCATTAAGATAAAAAGAAAAGTTTATTTTAGCACAAAATTTCTTCTAATGACTATACTCAGGAATTGGTAAGAATCATAAGTAAAAACTGTACAACATTCACTATTTGGTGCAGTACATTTGGAGACATTAAAAAAAATAAGTATCAAAAAGTAACAGGCCTTAGGGGAGAATAAGTCTTCTCTAATTATCACAGTCTGATGCACGCATGCCTTTTGCCTGCTAATGACTGGGGAGATGTGGCAATTTCCTTTAAAAATCCAGCCCCTTGTCATTCTTTTGTGCCAAGATAATTCAGATGCAATGGATGAAGAGCAGATTAGGCCATGATCCACTGATCATAACTTTCCATTGGATTTATAGCACCAGATGGTCTAATTATTCTCAACAGTTCTCAATCTCTGTCTGTCAGGGAGACCAGATGTAATTTCTACCTTCTGGTGAAATAAACTCCTAAGATTGAGCACAAGAAATAAAATGTGAAACATGGACCAAATAATTGAGATTAAAAGTTAGTAGAAGCATGTAATGGGTAAAGGCCCTTGGGCCCATCATCTCCTCATCTGCTGAAAACAAGTTTCAGGAACGGTACAGCTTCAGCGACACGACAGGCATTTTTGTAGTGGCTACGTTTTGACTGTAAGTATTTGTTTATATTTAAACACACACACACTCACACGTGTGTGTCTGGCCCCTAGTGTCTGGATCCTAGGATGCTATACCTAAATGCTGTATAAAACATACAGAATTCAAACTTTCTTCCAGTGCCATTTGGTCTCACATTTATCCTTTGTTTCTTCTTAAGTTATGCCTTTATTCAGTAAGTTAATATCTTGCAAAAAAAAAAAAAAAAAGTCAATGTGTTAAAATGGTCCCCCATTCAGTTCTGTTTAAGACAGCCTTCAAATCATGCCTCATTTGTATCTTGCTACATGACTATCTTCTAAGGATTTGACTAATTCTAGCATGCCTTCTGTCTTCCGAAGTAATTCACTATATAGAAGACAAGAAAATATAATAAACTGCAAAAATGGCTACTATAGTTTACCCTTCATGTTTTAAAATGATGGAAATTCTCTGCGTCTGTTCCTGTCCACTTCAATGCTTCCAAGATTGGTTCACAAGCCCTAGTTTGCGATTGGTTTGCTAGACCTGTGACCATATTCAAAATGGGAGGCCCTTTCAGTTAGGATATCAACTGATATTCAGTATTCAATGTCAACATCACAATAACATTATCCTCCTCATATGTAAAAAATGAAATTATATTATTCACTTCAGTAAATATGCATTTACACTTCCACCTCACCCACCCCAGCCCACCCCCTCACCATCAGTTTAGCTGAGTACCCTCCCGGATGATTCTGAATGTTATTTTCTAAGGACTACAAGCTCTTTTTGCACACCGAGGGTATCTTCAATTTTCTATCACCATCCTTAAGCACACTCTTTGGCCCCTGGGCTGCTATACATAAATGTTGTGAAATGAAAAGAAAATATCTACACTCTGTTCCCAAAAGAATAAATCATTTTTTATAAATCCTATAATTGCTTCTTCCACTTAAGAGTTTACAATTTCAGAACAAAAACTGTGCTATGACATCCTGACACGGTGCCTGGGAATTAGAAAAGAAGATGGTATCACATTCTCATGTCCTACATTTGTGTTTCAGTGATAATCTCCTCTCTGAAAGAATTATAAAAGAAAATTAGCAGTTCGAAGATAAATGTTACATAGAATAATATACTTTTAAGACTGGAGAGAATCTTTAAGATCCATGTAAAAACACTGCAAATGAGGGATTTTAGTAGTAAGAAAAATTTGCCAATTTTTACTCAATTAATTTGGTTATTTTTAGATATTCTTTTTCCTATAATATTTTCATTGTGTCAGTTCCACAATAATGCTGCACCCAGAATCACAGGAAATATTTCTTTTTGGTATAAAGTGAAGAAAATGCCCCTATATCCTAGAGGACTTTGAAGACATAAGAGATTAATATAAGTATTTTTACATGAATAAAGTTAGATCAAACAGACTTCAGCAAAATATTCAGGAGTTTCACATTCCAGGTTATTGCCAACATTCTTCTCCAACTCAGTGTTTATTGCAACCTAATACAAATTCAAAAGAAGTCAGCATTCCTGAAGAAAGCAGGGGAACAATAATAAAAGTTACATTCATTACTAGTCAGGTTGCAAGAGTGGTAGTGGCTCATTAATTAGTAGCTTCCATTTTGTTAGGATGGCCTCGTGCAAAGCAGCATTCTAACGGTGGGGAGTCCTGCCGTAGGCATTAAGAAGAGGGAATGAAGATTTCTTTTCCAAATTAAGTTGTCAAGGAGCTCATTTACACTACAGAGTGAGTGTATGTGGGCGAGCTGATGAAGATGATGATTTATGATGCTATAGACACTTGAGTAATTCTGGTGATGGAAATCCACAGCAAAACCCACTTAGGATGATAAAACAGAACTCCTATTATCTGTAGGAGGCAAAATCACGTGGCTTTTGCCCTTACAAATTTCAGGTTACCCCACTGGGTCTGGGAATGCAAGGAAAGCTCATTTACTTAAGATTCATGTTTGAGCATCCTGCTATTATACAGACTTGCATACATGCCCATTTTTTAAACTTTACATCCATTGGATCTTATGAAGGATTTTTAATGTGATGTCTTCTTTTGGGGACTGGGGATTTGAGGACTGGATCTGTCCAATCGCATCATGGATAGCTATGTAACAAAGCAGACGTTTAAAATATCTTTAAAAACTGTAGCCATCCATCTGCAAAGGCAGTAAATATGCCTTTTGGTGAGTTCTCTCTGCAAAAATAAGTTTTAAAATGCAGGGCAAATTCACGAACACATTTGACTAATAATTGTGGTCATCATCAGCTAACTTCTTCATAGTGTATCATAGGAAAAAAGGTACAGAGCACAAAAAGCATCAAATGATAAAACCAAAGCAAAATTTGTATTTTAACATACTTCAGTATATTTGGTGTGCTTGCTCTTTAAATGTCAAGAGAAAATAATTTTAAGAGTCTCATGAGAATTAACAGGCTTTGATATTAAATTTAAAAATATGTTTGTAATATCCCATTTTAGTAGCAAAGTGCCAGCTTTAGAAATAGAATCCCAATGACAAATAAATCTCCATATAAGCAAGGCAAAAGGGCAAAACTCATTGTAGTTCTACAGTTAATCATTCCACATTTTCACAAGTGTTTTCACAGAGTACTCAATAAATCTTTAGAAGGATTCACTGTAAGCTACTTCTATGAGTTCCCCATCTTAAATATAATGTAAAAGAACCTTTCATTCATGTGTATCTGTGCATTAGGTTATTATATACTGCTTACGTTGTCAAAACATAAACACACATTCACTACTTTATTCACACAAACATTACATCTCATTGCAACATTTTTCCTTATAAAAGATTGCAAAATTATGGTCCTACAAATTGACAGAACATTCTTTGTTCCTTTTGCGACACCTAATGTATTCTGGAACAACCAACGCTTTTGTTTTGTTTGCATAAAATAATTTATCAAATTTTCCTCTCAAATATTTCTCGATTCCAGGAGTATGTGGCCAACCCCTGCAGTTTATTTTGTATTTCTATGCTAAAAATTCAGAGGGGGATGTTCATGTATTCACAAGCAAACAGTATTTATGTGATAGTTACTAATATGTGACCACTGTAATTTCTTGATGGTTAAAGATTCAACAAATGTTTTTGGCTTTATATATATATATTTTCTAATTCTTCTGATGCTTAATATAATTAGATTTAGCTTTAAAATAGTTTCAAACAGGTAAACCTATGAATCTATGTATCTCACAGGATTATGTAAATCTATGAATCTCACAGGATTCTGTTTTTATGCTAATATTCAATAAGTTTTTAATCACCTTTACTCTGAGCCGCTATCATAAGCACACACTTTAAAACTGTAGATAAGTTCATATATACATGAACACATACATCAAAATTATTAGGATGCAATGAAGGCTCAGAAATTACAGATAGTAAACATAGTTTCTCAGGACCTAGCGCTGATTCATCAAGGTTGAGATTTAAATTAGAATATATTTTAACTTAAAAAATTGTGTTGTTTTATAAGCATTTACAATTTAGTAGGGCTAATATTTATCAGCCAAGGCAATTTACTGTTATAATGCCATAACATTACTACCTCATTTTTTTATTTGTGTTAAAAATATTACAGTTGTATATTTGTATAAAATGTTGGCATTCCACACGGAAGCAGAGAGCTGAACTTGAACCACACAGGACAGCCAAAGAACATAATTGAGAATTGAGTTAATATTACAACATATAGATTTTGATATTATCATCATCCCTACAATCAAATGAGACAAAATTCTAACCCAGTGCTACAGTTTTAATAGTCTATTGAGAAATATGGATATTTACTTTCATAAAATTGTCCGTCAGTCATATTAATTTTTTTCATAAATTGCATGTTAAAAATATGCTTTTGCAGATACACCTTCCCTGCCAAGAACACCCCCCCCAAGTTATCCTGGTGCCCTCCAGCTTTCAAAGCACTTCTGTGCGGTCCTCACAGCTGTCCTGTGAGGTGGGGGACCTGGCAGGGCTACTGCCCTCACCCAGATGAGAAAACTGAAACTCAGAGACAGGGCTCAGATGGCCCTTCGGATGTTACAGAGACCTCTCTCTCTTTTTTTTCCAATTAAAAAAATACATATTTTACATTTTGATCTGACCTATATATTTTTGTAGACAAAACACAGGAGCTTCAGATGCCTCATAGATCCTCAGCCAAATCGAACCTTGGCAGATGCTGCAGGGGATGAGAAAGCACTTTAGGGACACTAGCAGCATGGCTGCTTCCTAAGGCAGGTTTTGGAATCCATCTCAAGGAAAAGAAACGAAGAAGAAGAAGATGAACTAAAGTAGAATAATCAGGATATCATGTTTTATCTAATACAAAATAAACGCCTGAAATATACTCTTGTTTAAAGTGTCTAATTAATAGCTTGTTTATTAGCCAGGATAGCCCAATAACAACCTGTATGTAATAAAGGTGTAAATACAAACATACATGGGTTATATATGATTAAGTGACAAAAGTAACAAGTACTTGTATATGCTTCAATCTGTGGAATATTATACTGTCCTCTAACGAGGTTTCCTGTTTGTTTGAAATTGAACGTTAAGTTTAAGGAAATCGGGGAAAGAGGACTAAAGTAACCAAGAGCAATAAACCATATTCCAGCATCCTTCTCGTTATGTTATCAGCCTTCATAAATACTGTTCTTATTTAGAAGTATGTCTCCTAATCACAGAGCCAAGGTACCCCTAATTCTCTTTTACAGATTTTTTTCCCTCACAAAATGCAACAGCATTTTAATTCAAATAAAATTCTGCATCCCATTATGCTCTTCATCTGAAAGTAAAACTTAGACCCTTAGTCAAACTATACATTTTGTCATTTATATAATCTCCACTGAACTTCTTTTTCAAAAATGGAATCTAATTCCTCTCCATCCTCACATACACATTTTTGGAAACAACTTATGCTCTTAAAATGTTAGTTTCTTTTATATCAGTGTTCACTGATGAAAATACTGGATTGGAACTTGCACCACATCAAAGATGACATGTGATAAAAGCAGACTGCCTATCCCTAAAACCTTCTTAAGCTGTCTTTTTCACATATCTCCCCCAAGATCTTCCTTTTAAAGAATATATATGTATAAACTGAAATATATCTAAGTGTACAATATCCATCCAGACCCACAGCCAGGTCTGCACATACTACCGGTGTGTGTGTGTGAGAGAATACATTTTTTACAGAGGCACTGTATAGATTTATCTTCCCCAGGTCCTTGACAGTCGGCCTTTACTTCCACACATTTTACGAGTTGGGAGACGAAGTGGAGGATAAGAGCAAGCCAGACATCAAACCCATTTATTCTGAATCTTAAATTATGACTTTTATCATCAATATTTTGGTTACATTGTTACACAAAGAACAAATTAACATCTGGTTTGAGGTCTCCTCTTTGATTGCTTTGGGATCAGTGACATTTCCTTGGCATATGAATTACACACCCATCAACTCTCAGCTGTGTCTTAATAATGTTGTTGTAAGAGGTGCCAAAACAAGAAGATTTTTAACAGTGCTCCTGGGGTACCTCCACCAATATCGTTAACCACAGTGACTTCCAGGTGGCTTCTCGCCAGGTGCATGCAGGAGAGTGTCAGTGCATCCCTTTCCTGGGCAGATCAAAAGAGGATCCGGAGGAAGAGGAGCTGGTCTGTTGGCTTCGAAGCACCTGATCACTGTGCGCTCACTCAGAGGTGGATCCAAATAAATTAAAACACCCGCTGAGAAGTCACAGCACACGTGGCAAAGAAGCAGTATGTTTAGGGGACTTGGTCATTACAGCTTCCATTCCCAACTTATACGATTCAGGACCACCCAGGAACACTAGGTTCTTAAAGCATTCTGAAGTATAAATTTAAAAAAAATCCGGGTTGCTATTAATAGTTCTAAAGGTGCATCTTAGAATCTCTTTGAGAGAATAAGCCGAATTGTACATTGTGTTATTTTTACTTCGATAAACAGATTCTTTTTGTTTGGTTTGGTCTCGTCTAAAACAAAACACACAGGTATTTTAATGTTTTGTTTTGTTTGGTCTTATCCAGGAATTCAACATATATTTTCTCTCCCCAATCCCAGCAAGAAAAATAAAAGTGGGGTTGAGGAGGGAGAGCTGAGTGTGGAAAGAAAAGTAAAGCTATTCAAGAAGAAACACAAACAATACAAAACAAAATCTGCAGTCCAATCGTGCAAAACTTGCTTCTCTGGATAAAGCACTTCTTGACAGGTTCACAATGTCCCCATCCCCCTCCCAAGTCCTCCCATCCACACGGTGGGGGGAAGAATACAGAATGAAAGTGAAGCCATTCTTTTTCTTAAGGCTATACAGACGCACACAGAACACATGTCAAGGACTGTCCATCAGGTGGTTCTTTGTTGGGCTCCTGTTTCAAGCCCTGACTGCAACCTGCAGTCCATCCTGGAGTCAGGAGCTCTCCTTCCATTGGGACAACAATATAACATACAAACAAAAGAGGTCCATGGTCCCAACAATAAAATCCGATATTGACTTTACAATCACAGGTACAAATTGCTCAAATCGATAATTTCATTTCTCCTTAAGACCTTGTCATCTAAAACTAATTAGAGGCCAGGTTCCCGAGGAATTGTCAATATTCCAAAAAACAAAAACAAAAGTACTGGAGGTTTCAGAGGAAATCATTCTTCTACAGCAACAGTCTGATGGAGGTTGGAAACAAGGTGTCCCAATTCCAGCAAGTTCGGGGTGTTTTAAAGGGCGGATTCCTGGGTCCAGATTGCCATTCCCCCACCGTCTAGGGGGCTCTGTGTTTATACAGGAAACACCAAGAAGCCCGAGAATGTGGAGTATTTCCAACCCCCCATGAGGTTGCCTCTCTCAAGTTTGAGATGCACTTTGTCTTCCCTTTCCATGAGCAGCAGCACGCCATTGCTAGCAGCTTCTCTGGTGACATCCTGGTCTCCTGCAAAGGCCGAGATCACTGGGTAGCCATTCTGCATTAAACTGACCTAAAACGCAGAGAGTAGAGCTCAGCAGACCATAAAGGACCCAACTCCTACACATTGTTCTCTCCTCTGCCAATATCCCCACTCCCACCCCTATCCTACCCTTCCAGTACACATCAGGGGGCCTGACAGTGAGCACTCCCAGCTAGTTCAGAGCCGCATCACCCCTAAATAGCCCAGTACCCTGTTTCCCTCAGCCTCAGAGACCAGGTGCAGGGGTCTTTAGCGATGTCGAACTATTAACCCAAACCTGAAAGGATCCAGTTTCAAGTCTACCCACCTGGATGGTTTGTCTGTTGTACACTTTGACCACGTGGAAGCTGAAGCTATAAATCCCTTTTCTCGGTGCTACAAATATACTGGAGGCAAGATCAAAGTGGTTGCCAATATTTACTAATACCTGAAAAAGAAGAGGGAACACAGCACACAATAGCAAGCCCCTCCTCAGTGTATGTTTTCATCATCCTTGGATAACCAGCAACACTGCCTCCTTCGTCAGCGGCTGGGAACACAAATTCAGCATCCTCAGCATTCTGGCTTCCCAGAAAGGAAGCAGTGCTGAAGTTAAAAGATCCTACAGCAGGAAGTAATCTCAAAGGTATTTTAATACATTGTAACTAATCAACATTTTTAAAGCATATTTTATTTATGCATTCAAAAACTGGCTGTGAATTTTGTGAGTTAAAGGGGAAGGGCACTGAGAAAGGAATCAAAGCTTGTAAGCTTGTTAAATCCTAAATTGAGTCCAGGGAGGTCCGCGGGATTATGCGTACATCAACATGATACCTTGTCTGACAAAAAAAAAAAAAAAAGTTTGATTCTGAGTTGGTAGAGAAGGGGCTATGGAGCAAGAGGCCAATTAAAGATCACTTCTGCAAGTTCAAGCTTGGGACCTAACTTCATGTGTTCCCAGAGACAATGGGCTGTATGAGGCGTGGATCTCCAGTGGTTCCCAGTGCCTGGCACACTCTGGACGCACACAGTAGGTAGTCAATGATGGGTGCTGAATGAAAGACCTTTGCAGAAAAACATTTGCTACTCCTGCTTTTCCTTACTTTTCCCTGAGCAACGTGCTGCTCCCTTGCCTGAGCTATGGTGCCCTGTAAATGAGCTTGAATAAATAGAGAATCGGCAGCTTGGACATCCTTAGCTTAAGCTAATGCGAACTCTACAACATGCAAAACAATGACAAAATTAGCCACCTGGAATGAGCTCATGACCCTGCAGATGGCTTTCCTCAGATAAAAGGGCAGGGGTGAGTGTTTCATAAGCAGAATTTCAAGAGTGGCGGAACCCCCATGATGACCCAATTTCTTTCAGATGTTCAACACAGACTCTGGCCACTTTGGATGCCATCTCCATCCTCCTCATCCATAAATGCACAACTCCTTTCTAATAATAAGATGGCCTGCCTTTTAAAATAAACAGCCAGCAACAACATCAAAATCCTGGGTTTAAGATCTTGTGATCTAATGAGAATATAAACTTGAACCGGAATACCTTTGCTGTTATTTCTTACACGCTCATTATAGATAAATAACATGCAATTCCCAACGCAATGTGAAATGCTGCCAATGACGATCGCCGAAATGACTTGTGAAATATGCCTGTTTCAGCTTCTTCAACCTAGCTGGGAGCACCACTTCAGCTCCACTCAAGGGCAGGACTGAGACAGACACTCTGGGCTCCATTGTTAAGACAAGCACCTCGGGATGCCTATTCTCAGTCTCATAAGGCTATGCTCGCTGTCTTCCTTACAAAGCTTTAGAAAAGGATAAAGCAGTCTCCATTTAAGCCTCCGGAGCTGCTTCTTTCTTTCACCTCAACTCCTTCACCTCAATTTTACATTCTGGAAGCTGATAAATTCAGGTAGAATTTATCCCTGCTGTAGATGCAAGAACACCCAACCAGACCCAGAAAAGCAGACCTCAGCTCCTCATTAACTGGGGAGCCAGAGAAACACTGAACGCACCCTGCCATAGTTTGCTCATGTATAAAATTAGAATCCTGCTACTACTTATCCTGCCCTACCTCAGAGAGCTTTCCTGATACACAAATGCAAAGAGGGATATACAGATGCTATGAAAACTTTGCAAGACGTTGGTAAGTGAATAATAATAATATAACAATAACAGCATATAAAAGAAACCGTACTAATGGAGTATTAGTTCCCAAATGCCTATTCCATTGTTGTCTCATTTGGACATAATCAAAATAAATAATTTTACATTTTGTAAAAAAAAAAAAAAAATGAATTAAAGAGACACATGCCTCCTCCCGCCGCCCCCCCCCAAAAAATAAACCTCAAATACTTGAAGCTTAACAATGATTAAGAAATAAATACCCTGGCTTAAATAGAGTCAAGAGTGTGTGTCTGTAGGTTTATGGTTATTAAGTTTAAGAGTTGCCTAACAGACCAAAGGAAAGTCAATTAAACACGTACAGTAAGCCCTGGTAGGTTGTCAGGGACTGCTAGGCGCTCCATTCTGTGGGAAACACTTTGGTAAAATGATTAGGCAATTAGCTAATTAGCTAAAGCTTGGAAATCTCTATAATGCTTTTAATTGGTTTTCTGAAAAACAACAGAAACCAGGGGAGCGGGACACAAAAAGAAGGTTACAGCCTTTAACCCTGGGCACCAATAATCCAGAGAAGGGTTTGGAAAGGCCTGATCATATCTCTGCGACCTCTGCATTGAACCAAATGGCATAAGTTAAGTGGCTTAAGGTGATGTAAGTCACTGCTCTTTTAAAAGATTTGTATATATTGCATTTGCTTATAGTATATATTTTATTTACTATATATTTTACTTATATAATCACAATATTTTGTTCAGTATTTATATAACCATCCCTGCTCGTCCTCACGTTTTTTTCTTTCTTTCTTTTTTTTTTTTTTAAGATAAACATCCCTCCCCCAATCCATTCCTCAAAATAAGCAATAGGCTGTATTTTCCAAATGCTGGCAGAGCCTCAAGAGTCCTTTCCTGAGAGTGGAGAGATTTAAATGCACTCAATCCTTCAGGTGGCCACCTGGGTGACTGAAGACCATCAACCACACCGCCGTGAAAAGTAAAACGTGCAATGCTTCCTTTTGGGAAATATATTTCAAATCTTTAGGTTTACGGAACTCTTAGAAAGCTTAGACAGCCTTAAGGGACTCTCAGTCATCCAAGTGCCAAGTTGGCTGATCATTTAAAAGTTTTTAAAAAGCCACAATGTGGAAAAGGGAAAGAGTAGGAGTGCGTTCTATAAAACGGGAGGAAAGAGAGTAGCAGGGCAGAGGGGGAGGACAGAGCCTGGGAACTCCTAGTCCAAGAATCTGCCTGAACCCCAGCCCGCGCGCGCAGATCCCCGCCCCTCTCCCCGGGCTGGGGGCGGGGTGGGCAGGCTGGCGGCTGACCTGGTCGAAATAGATGGTCATGGTGCGGTTGCTCATCTCGGACGGCTCGTGGTTGGTGCTCCGCGTGGCGGAGAAGGCCACCTTGGCGCTGCCGGAGCGCACGGAGATGCCCAGGGAGGAGGTGACGGCGCCGTCCGCCGACGGGCTGGAGTCGCACACCACCAGGCACTTGCCCTCCAGCACGATGGGCTCCGTGTCGTTCTGCGCCCGCACGGGGCAGCAGGCGGGCAGCAGCAGCAGCAGCAGGGCCAGCGCCACCCCCAGGCAGGATCCGCAGCCGCCCGGCTCGCGCAGCGCCCCCCGGCGCCAGGGCATCGTCAGCCGCAGCCCGAGGGCCCCCTGGCCCGGCGCCTGCATCGGGGCTGGTGGGAGGCGGCGCGCGGGGGCGGAGGCCGGCGGGGGCGCGAGCGGCGCGGAAGGGCGCGCAGGAACGCGCGGGGCCCGCAGCAGCCTCCGCGGGCCTTTGTCCCCCGCTCTGACGGTCAAGGCCAGGGTCGTTCTCAGAAGAAAGGCGCCCGTGGACCTGTCAGGGCACAGAACCCAAAGCCTTACACCGGGAGGTGGAGCCACCGGGAAGAAGGGGGACTGGGAGCAGATGCCTGCGGCTCGGGGGCTCTTCCCGAAGGCCACCCCCTTGGTCCCGCGCACAGCCAACCCGCTTTCCGATCTGGCACAACAGGTCCGGAGAAACGCCCGGGCGCAGGGGGCAGCGCATCCCTGAAGGCTCCCGAGCGGCGCGCGGGCCTGCGACGAGGGAGGGGGCCGCGCTTGTGCAGGTCCTCGTCGCTAAGACGGGCCCCGAGACCCTCAGAAGGCGTCACCGCCACCCCGCCCATTTACCAGCGCGGAGGGGGCTCAGACGTAGGCAAAGAAAAACCTACGAATGCTTGCCTTCTCGCCTTCATCTCAAGGCATTTCCTTGGAGCAGCACCAAGGAACCCTTTTCCTTTCCCTTGTTTCCCTGCTATCCTCTATTTTTCAATCCTCGAGATGTTTTTAAAGTCCATTTAAGTCCCTTTGGTACAGGTTTTATCTATTTTCCACCCGAAGAACAAACCCCGGGAATCTCTTTAGGGCGAATAAGATTAACAGGGGAGAAATGACACCACACACACACACACACACACACACACACACACGCAGTAAAACCAAACACTCACTTCCAAGGTCCCTGCAGCCACTAGCGAGCCCCCTTGGTGAAACCCCTGGGATTCCTCTCTCCGCGGAAGGACCGATTCCAACGACGGAATCCCAGGCTTGGCTTATTCTCCAGCTCTTGTTTCCAGACCCAGGGGATTCTCTCTTTCTGGCTGGGCAGCAGCCCCTGCAGGTTTCTGCGAACTTACGCGCCCATCTGCACTTTTGCCCCGTCCCCGCTCCTCCCAGGAAAGCAGACCGGCCATTTCAATACCAGCCCGGAGACACGCAGAGAAACCGCCCCCTCGCCGCCCACAGCCTCCCATTAACTCTTCCAATGTTCTTTCTAAGAACGGAGAAGTTGGCTCTTGATAAATATTGCTGTCCGCAGCCCCGATCCTACATTATTTCCCTTCTCTCTCTCTCTCCACCTCCCCCACCCCTCGATCTGGACCAGCGAGAGTCCTGGTGAAAATCCACGCAGAAGGCGCTTGCACGCGGAGGGGAGGGCAGGTTGGGGGTGGTTACCTGGAACATCCATGCTGGGCGAGCTCCGCTGTCAGCGAAGTTGCTCTGCTTAGAGAAAATGAGGCGAGTGGGAGCTGTCGGGAGGAGGACACGGAGCGCGACCCTGCTCCCAGCGCGTGGCCAATAACCGCGCCGCCCCGCCCTGCCGCTTTCCCGCTCCAGCCCGCGCCGCTTCAGGGGTGCACCACGCCCCGCGCCCCGCGCGCCCGCTTAGGCGCTGTGCCCGGGACCGCGAACCCCGCGTCTCGCCCGGCTCAGCGCCCCGCGCTGTGCGCCCAGGCGCCTCCAATCCCTGGGCTTCGCGCCTGCACCGCTGCCTGGGGCCCCTCGCCCTCCCGCGCCCAGCGCGCCCGCAGCGCGGCTCCATCGCGGATCCCCTCGGCCCCGCGGCCCCGCCAGTCTCCAGAGGGCATAGCCGAGCGCTGCCGCCGCCCTAGGACTCCGAACCTTCCCTGTTCCCAAGCCCGCCGCACCCTTCAATGCCCCGGTCCAGCTCACCCAAACGCCCAGAGCAAAATCCTCCCAGACGTCTCGTTTGAAAATTAGGCACCCTTAAAAGCACCGGTCGCTTCTCTTCTTTTAGATTCTTTCTTTTCTTTCCCCAATTCCCTCCAAGTCTTTATCTTGAATGGCGTGACCACTTTCATAATGAAAGGGGCGAAAAAAACAATAAGTTTAAAAAAAAGACGACGACGATGACTGGGATGGCTGGGACGAAGAGAGGAAAAAAAGCTTGAGAATTTGATGATTTAGGAGCTGTGGTTCCAGAGTCCCCAGTTGGGGAACTGTCCGGTTCCCGCAGGGCTACAAGACGGGCCTCCGGCCCGGGTCTGTGTGTCTGCTCCTCTGGACCTCGGGCTGGTGGAGCGGCTGGCACTCGCGCTTATTTATTAAATTGCGGTCTCCGCGCTGGCTCCAAAGACCCGGGGAGACGCGCTGGGTTTCCTAGCTGCGCCTGGAGCGCGGGCGAGGGCGCAAACACGGACGTGGGGCGCCACCTACGGGTGCCCGGGCCTCCCTGCCGCAATCTGCGGACCCGCAGACTCGGACAGAAGACGGTGGAGTCCTGGCGGCAAGGCTGAGGTTTGCTGATGGTCTTCTTTCACCCCAAAAGCAGCACTGGCCTCTGTAATAATAATAATAATAATAATAATAATAATAATAATAATAATACTAGCAACCACAAGAAGAACAATAATGACCAGTCTTCCCGGTATCCTTCAGTACGTTTACTCCTGGCAAAACCAAGCAGCACACCACCTGATTTTTCTGTATCTTCACTGATCTTAACAAACAGCTCTGCCAAGATGATAGATGCTGCGGTGAGGTTATCATCGGTTATTATCGTCGCCACAGCGTTTGCACAGACAGCTGGGCCGTATAGTTCATGCCGGTCTAAAAAACGATCAATATTTAAATCTACACTCTGTAGCCTGATTTTTTAAAAACATGGTTAAAAAATACTTTGTCTTTTGACATGAATGATAGTCTTTTCTGATAGGCTAATAATAATAATAATAATACAAAGTTAGCCAGTGCTGTTCATTAGAGCACCTATATTTCTTATTCCTCCAGACTTCACACCTAACCCTCGTCCCTTTGAAGATTTCAGCAGTGTCTGATTCCACCTTAACAAACGGAGGTCTTTTCAGGTAGGGGGTTTTGAAGGCCTTATTTTCCCATAGGCCCTCTCACTGCTATTCTCCCCATTTAGAACAGAACTGCCAAGGTATCATCTCTAAGCGCTGGAGATGAAATTCACGTCAGATCAGTTCAACTGGAATGGATGTGCAGAAAGTCATTGCACACTGCTAGGTGAGACAAAATATTTAGTATAGGTGTAAGGATGTGATGAAAAGTACCTCTAAGCGAAATGCTTCCTGATTAACCTAACATGCAACCGTAGTAGGAAATATACAATACTTCCAAAATCTCTCATCCTCCTAAGCTATACTCACTGTAAATGTCATACTTCAACATTTTTGTACCATGCTGGAGATAGGTACTGGCATTTGCCACGAAGCTTTTTCAAATCCACCACAGTTTGACATGTTTTGTTACCATTTTTGTGAGTTTAACAGAGTGGAAGTAGTACATTCTTACTTTCAGATAGTTATTTTATTCCAATATTTCATCCATTTGATAGTGTCTTATTGTCAAAATAAGCCCCCATCCATCATTCCACCATAGAGAGAACTGATTTAAGTGTAAGCAGAGATAGCAAAGAATACTAGATATTTGAAAGGCATGTGGGATACAGACATAATTAGACCAATCTGGGGATGCTAATTTATAGCAATACTTCTCACACATCTATAAATCTTTAAACAGCAACTCTACTCAGCAACTTTCCTCAATCCTGTAAGCATTTCTTTTGGCTAATATAAATGCAAGCACACAGGAACTATCATCAACACTGGGGGAAAAAAAGAAAACCACTTTCTATGTGGCAATGTAAATGTTTAAATTCTATATATGTAGAGACACCTTTAATCTGTGTGACTTATTGGACTGAATTATTGAAAAAAAATGCTATAAGCATTCTTATATAATAAAGAGGCTAGGTTTAAATTTAGACTACAGATTATTTTAGAAGAAAGTTCATAACCATAAAAGATAGCAAATTGACAGAGAAGCAGATTATGTATTCATTGATTAATTAGTTGTTTCACATAAGAAGATATTTAAGTCAAGTGTTGGAATTTTAGCTTGTAAATATGCTTAGAAAAATTTTCAGAAAATGTCGAGATTTAAAAGCAAACATTTTTCTAGTTATCTCAGAGATTCCTGTTTCTCTCCCTTTTCCATGTTAATAATTGTTGCTATTACTACTAGAACTTTAATAGTAGGACATTCCCACAGACAATAACAATGACAGCCATTTATTGAACACCTGTGGTATGTCAGATATTGCACCATGCCTTTTGTCTAGGATATAACAAACAATTTAACACCCACAAGCACCCTGTGGTAAAGACTGGTGTTCACATAGAGCTGAAGAGGAAAATACTCTCCTACCAGGGGAAAATGTGGGAAGGGGAGAGGCTAGGATAATTCAAGTACCCCTCCTCTCATTTGTTCTAAATATCTATCTCTCATAGAACTTAAATTTAAGTTCTTTGGATATAACCTATCCCTGAAATGCATCTTCAGCATACATTATAGATTTACTGTTGGATCTATCGATTCCACCACTGACTATCTACTCAAAGGAAAATAAATCATTGTATCAAAAAGGATACCTATACTGGTAGGTTTATTGCAGTGCTATTTACAATAGCAAAAATATGGAATAAATCTAAGTGTCCATTAAGAGATGATTAGATAAAGAAAATGTCACACACACACACACACACACACACACACACAATTGGAATACTACTCAGCCATAAAAAGAATGAAAAGAATGAAATCATGTATTTTGCAGCAACATGGATGGAACTGGAGGCCTTTATCTTAAGTGAAATAACTCAGAAAGTCGTACTGCATGTTGCCAGTTATGAGTGGGAGATAAAGAATGTGCACACGTGAACAAAGAGAGTGAAATAACAGATGTTGGAAGCTCAGAAGAGCACGAGGGTTGGAAGATGGTTAAGGATAAGAAATTCCTTAGTGGGTACAATGTACACTATTTGGGTACCCATGTAAGAAAATGGCACATGGACCCCCTAAATCTACTTTTAAAATTTAAAATTTAAAACAATCTGTTGATCTAGGAGGTAGTAGAAAATCAGTAATCTGCAGCTAAAGCAATTTCTAATTTTTATTTATTTATTTTCTTTTAATGTAATTGTGTAGCTTTAGTTTTAGAATGAGCTACAGGTATGATTTTAAGGCTTTTTATATCTGGAATATTTTGATATAAATCATATATTTTTATCCAGAAGTGAATTTCAGAAAAAAGAAAATTAATGATTTAAGGAATAAACTTGTTGCTTTTGTATCTGAAAAAGTTTATATGAGGTGATACATCTGCGTGTATTTCCCTCTCAAGTGTTCTCCCGTAGAAATAAAATATAAAAGTATGTTGTATTTTTGATCGTTTAGTAAAGTTTTCACTCCAACAGTTGGAAGCGAATTTTAAGCACATACATAACCATTTTGGCTTTCCAAAGTATGTTTTCTTTTCAAATAGTGCTTTAACATTGAGGCGATCGTTCTGTTGGCTCTTACCAGAAGACATGCCTACATCCTCAAGAAGCAACAGATCATAGGGTATGATGAATCAAAGGAGTGAAAAGCTGGCGGTTTAGGAAAGAATCATCTAAGAGGCTCTGTGTTTGAAGAGGCTTAGAGATCTGAGTGTGGTATCGGTGTCTGGAGTTGTTGATCTGGAGTCAGCAGAAGGTTGAGAGGACTCCTTGTCACCAACTCCTCAGTGTGTCCCACTAAGCTGCTTTCCATTGCCTTAGGGATCTGCCATCAGAAAATATTCTGACTGTGCCGCAGCCACAAAGCACATTACAGATGTGACTGGTAATCCAAGTCAGAAGAAATGTGGCTCAAATATTGCCTAGATCTGAATAGGACTTTTGTTTCCAAAACTATTCACTAGCACTAACTAGTTATTTTATACTTGATATTTATTCTTGATCTTGAGACTATTCTTTGAAAATACAACATCCAAAGGGAATATTAAGGAAAGATTCATAGGACTATTTTGTTTTTAAACTGAGCTACTATAAGGCTAGTGTTTCATAGAGTTGCTCATGGCCCAAACTAAGAATACCTGGTTATCACTCCGGATCCAGTCTTCTGATGTAATCCACTATAAAAGCCATTTTATACTGATCATAAGTTTTTAAGAGAAATATGGTTATGCCCTGCACAGAAATCAGAGTCCAGGACCAAATATATTTAAGAAATGACTATTGATCTGAAAATGAAGTCTGTGCAGCCTGGTCATTTCAGCAAGCCACAAGTCAGCAATGGCTGAATTTTATTTGTGACCTTGTGCACGCAGCATCTGTTTTCCGTGGGCATCCTCTGCACGCTCTGTCCTAGCTTCCTGCACCGTAAATGCACCCAGGCTGTGGAGATGTGTGTTAACACCAGATTCACATTTGATAAAGAGATAGTGAAACTGAGGAAGGGGATCCAAACTGTAATGAGCACATGAATTATTGTGAAATCCTATTACAAATGCTGGGTGGAGCCTGAAATTTTAACATGTCTGCTTTTCTCCCTTCCCTTCCCTTCCTTCCTTTCTTCTTTTATTCATTTATTTATATATATTTTTTAATGGAGCATCGCTCTGTAACCTGGACTGCAGTGCAGTGACACAATCTCAGCTCACTGCAGCCTCTGCCTCCTGGATTCAAGAGATTCTCCTGCCTCATCCTTCCTACTAGCTGGGATTACAGGTGTGCACCACCATGCTTGGCTAATTTTTGTATTTTTAGTAGGAACGGGTTTCACCATGTTGACCAGGCTGGTCTGGAGCTCCTGACCTCAAGTGATGTGCCCACTTTGGCCTCCCAAACTGCTGGGATTACAGGCATGAGCCACCGTGGCCAGCAACATTTCTAACAAGCTTGCAGCTGACGCTGATGCTGCTGGTCTATAGGCCACACATTGAGTAGCAAAGATCTGTTTTTTCTTGTAGGGATCTGTTTTTTCTTGTGGGGATATTAATATCTGAAAAATATTCTGAAGGTTTACTGCAGACATATAGAAGGAAAAGTGTGATTAAATATACTATGTTAACTCACATCAGAAAATGGTCTAGTGATCATATAATAAACATGGAAGCCACTATCCAACAGTATGATTATTCCAGCTGGTATTTTTCATTAGCATCTGCTCTTTTGTAGCTACTTTCTCAAGTTCAATGTGCTATATTCTATACAATCATTCCAAAAAGAAAAGAAAACATGTTTGTGTTAAAATGTTATACTTGTTTTCACTTTTCTAAAACCCAATTTGGGCAAGACAAATGAAGCATTACTGAGAAAACAGGAGAAACGGCTTTGTAAAGGCACTTGTAATTGGCAGCTAGGGCATTTTTATCATCCTATATAAGATTATTCTATCAGGGGTTACTCTGTAATTGTCATGGATGGAGTTTCAGTTTATCTGCATGTTACTGGGCAAATGCTTACCTAGGGTTGAAGATTTTACGTATTTTTGTGAAAAAATGAAAACCCTCTGACTCCTGGGTCAAAGGTATTGTGGTTCCTAATAGCAATAGCAGAGGGAATGGTGAGACTTATCTTCAGATCTGCTAAAAACTGGTAGACATAGAAAGCGTATACACATGTACAAAAGCAAATGTTCTCCTGGTTGTAATACCAACATATTCCTCTTCTTTATATGAAACTTGGGCTTTGCTTACTCACTGACAGAAATGTTAGGAAGTTAAAATTTCACTTTAAAATGAGGAAAATGAGAAATGAAGTTCATCCCTTGGCAGGTTTTCTGAATGTATGTTTGATAAATCATGGGACTGCTATCTCATTGAAATCTACAAGAAAGTATATGGATTTTCCCTCAGGATCTCATCGTCTCCAATAAGCCTAAACATTTGTGAAATTTCTGATATATCTGAGGAATAGATTACATTGCACCATCATTCTCTTGAGAAAACTTGAACCATACAGGGAGGTAAGGAAAAACCTCAGTGAATCAAAATGCAGGAAGGCCCAGAAACAGCTGATAGCAATCAGTGCTGATAAGTCAGAGGGTGGAGAGAGAGCTCAGTTTGGGAGCTGATATTGTTGTACGGAGTTTATGGAGAAGATGGGCTATGGGGGCAGGGGGAGGAAAAGCACTTTCATTAGTGAAATGCTATTCATATTAAATTTCCTAGACATTGAACCCTAAGCAACTAGAAATATTTTACCTACCTTTCAAAAATACTAAAATAAAAAGTTTGTATCATGGAAAATAGCATGACACACATTGCCTTATTCGAAAGAGAAATTTTCTTTTTCTTTTTTCTTAAATTTTATAAATCCTTTATATGCCTTTAGGGAGATTTCAGTGAATATTAAGTATTAAATTAAGTTTTGGTTTAATTCAAAATGTTATTTGAGGTGCTCTGCACAGAATAGTTTTTAAATGATAGACTACTACTAACCTATTCCTTGATTTATTTTTATGCATTAAATATTCCCCTAAAAATGATGTATGACTATATTCTTAATAGGTACCTCATCTTGTCTGCAGCTCTGTTATGGTGCTTATATTGTGTCCTGTATGCCAACGGGTAATGAAGGACACAGTGTAAGAGTAACACATATACATATCTTATATACCCAAAAACTGTAATTTCATTGCAAACAAGTACCATGACATTTTGTTTCACTGTTTTTCAACACATCTAGTATAGCATCATTACTTTTTGAGAGTCCTCTATTTAAACATTGATAAATTGATTCTGCTACTTATTAAATAGAAATTTTAGGTGTTTCTACCATGTATCTTCATGCTCACTTTCAGACATGTCTAATGGGTAAAATGTTTTTTTTTATATATATATTCACACACACACACACATACACATATATATACACACACATACACACACACACACACACATGAAATGAAGAGAAAAATCATTTTTTAGTTACCCTACCATATTGAACGTACCTTTATTTTACTGGTGCATGTTTTGGTTTATAGAGGTTTCACATTCTCTAGACTGGTCTGGGAGATTCTGGTGTATAGCCAGAAGATTGGACATATTTTAATCCTGTTGTTTGCCTTTGTTGGCTTTTATATCTCTGAGAGATCTAAATCTTGCTTGAAATATAATTGACTAAAAAAAATAACAGAATTGGGTAGACTAAAAGTGTCACAAAGTCTTCAGAAATGGAAGACCTACCATCCTTGCCCTCTTTGAACACACCCCATCACGGAAGTCTATACATCTGCATGGAGCTGGATTGACGTGTGGGTCTCTGTGTGTATACACAGGTGAAGGATCTGTTTCAGAGAAATAAGTCCAAAAGTACCAAGCATTAATAGTGTAACCATGCTGAGATTATTCAGATGCGTAGATTACATGAAATTATATGAACACCACTATACATATAAACACATATTTATCATTTAGGTTAATATTAATTAGCATGGCTTAATATTTCATTAAAGAAATAAATTGCCCTTACCTTCTTGACTCACCTTAGGGAATGTGAATGCTCATCTGAAGCTTTAAACTTAGAAGGTCAACTTTTTCTTTTGTGATTTTGTGATTGTACAGTTGTGTTGACGTTTCAAACCAAAAAGTTAACTACTGATTGTTTCTTTGTGTTTGTGACTGTGTTACCCATTTCCTATGTTCTCTTAGCCTTTTCTTCTCGTTTATCTAACCTGTTATGTCAGTGTTTTCTGAATTTCACCGTTTATTAAAATGTCCAACAAAGCAAGATACTTTTTTGTTTTGTTTTGTTTTTTTTTTTGAGACAGACTTTCGCTCTTGTTGCCCAGGCTGGCACCATCTCAGCTCACTGCAACCACCGCCTCCTGGGTTCAAAAAATTCTACCTCAGCCTCCCGAGTAGCTGGGATTACAGGCATGCACCACCAAGCCCAGCTAATTTTGTATTTCTTAGTAGAGACAGGGTTTAGTCATGTTTATCAGGCTGGTCTCGAACTCCTGACCTCAGGTGATCCACCTGCCTTGGCCAACCAAAATGCTAGAATTACAGCCGTAAGCTACCAAGCCTGGCCAAAATACTTTTTTTAAATAGAAGAAATAGATTTAAATCAGCTTATCATACAAATATCTAATATTTATATTTTTTCTAAATACATAAAAATCAACAAACTCCTTCCTTAAACATGTCAGCAAAAAAACCCTTTCTGCAATACAAAAGCTAACAATCTTGGTAACAGAAAAATAAAAGTGGAACTCACATAACGTGAAGTGAAAGCCAGTGACATCCACGTTCTCCTTTTTCACAAAAGATATTGAGATTCTCACTGAAATTATGAAAAATAAGTACATCATTTCCAGGTACATAGCGAATTAATAACATAATTTTAAATAATATATTTCTTTTTAAATTACTGGGGAAAAAAGAAATAAAGAAGGCTAGTGATAGTGAACTAAATCCCCATCTTTTATGCTGAAAATAGACATTGAATAAAGTTGACATACTTGTAAGTAGGCATATAATCATTTGATTTTGACTTTAGGAAACAGTAGGAGAAATGAAAAAATTGCAAAAATTGTTTCAGAAGAAACAATTTTTCTGGAATTAGGAAATTAGGAAAGTGTTTCTTCTGGAATTAGGAAAGTGTTAGGCAAGAGATTGTTATTACTATTATTTAATCCTATGTGTCTCTGTATTTTTAAATTTTCTACCATATTGATGCCTTACTTTGGAAATAATTTTTTTAAATGACATTAAATTATTTTCTGATATATGTGCATATGTGAATTTTGTGCAAAATGGTGCTGAGGAGAAAAGATTGGATTTTACAGAACAGATTCCACAGGAGCAGAAAAGGAGAACTCACAACAGGCGATCAGAGAAGAGAAATTGTCTCAGTGCTTTTCTCTCCCTGGGCTTCACTACTCTGATTTATGTGTTCACGAACAAAACACTGAGCTGGAACTCAGGGCCCAGCAACTCCAAAAAGAACTCTGAAAAATACAATGACAAGTGCACGTGTAGAATGGGAATCTGCCCTGGTCCCTCAGGGGCTTCGTCCAACATGTAAATGAGGGAAGGAGCAATAAACTTAGTTTTGTAGGCATAAATGGAAAATAAGAAATATAGCTCAGGAAAAATAACAAATATCCCAACAGACAAAGGTTACTACCTAGACTAACAATTTGTGATAGATAGATAGGTAGGTAGATAGATAGATAAGATAGATAGATGATAGATGATAGATAGATATCAAAACAGATTATACATATATATATATATTACAAACGTGTGCATAGTTTTGGTTAGATTACTCAACAAAACCTTACTTTAAATAAATAATGTAGAAAATATAATTTTAGTGATTGGAAAGCTCAGACAAATTCTTATGTTTAGATAATTTCGGCAAAAGAGCTAATTCGTCATTTGGTTGATACACAATCTAACTGTAGGAAATTTCCTAATCCTGGCCATAGAATTGGGGAAACCGTGGAGCAATGAAAAGAGGACAGGGTTAAAGGCCATAATTCTCCCCTCGAAAGTTGAAAACATTATAGAGTGACAAAAATCATCAGATTATTAACTCTGATTGATGTTATTAACTCTGATTGATTTTATCAACTCTGATCAAAGGTCTGCACTGGGAGAAATTCGAAACATTTGGCTAAAACGATATTTGAAGAAAACTGTCAGATTCGTTTTTCAGCTTATGCCTAGCCTTCATTGCCATGCCTGGGTGCAATCTGATTCTATTACATGAAGTGCATATTTCCGTAATGAAGAACTAGTGTAGCGTCCTTTGGTTCTCAAACCTGCAGGGAAAGAATTAATAACGAATCGCATAATCTCTTCTATAATTTATTTTGCATAATCCTTAGAGTCTAATATGATGAAGAATGTTTAAAGAATTGAAAATTATAAGGTTATTATTATTTGCTGTTTTCATTACCCCTTTTTTTTTTGTTTTGGTTTGACTCTGATTAAAGCAGTCAAATTGAAATGTATTATAAAATTTGAAATCTATTATGCCTGATTTGCCTAGTGGATGTTTGCAAGAAAGTGACAAGAATAATTTTTAAGAGAAAAATAAACATTTTCTTTAGCCAGCCTTTTAGATTTCTGCAAAAAAAAATAAATTCCATTTAATTCATCATAAGCATTTAAAAAATGTACTTTATGTTCAAATCTGAAATTAAACAGTCACAACTTGAAAATTTCCTCTCTCTACAGAAACTGGAACTTAAGCAAAGTAACGTGATTTGTTCATGACCTTGTAGCAAAGTAATCACCATGTTATCTAAAATTCGGCAAACACCTACTATAGGCTCAGCACTTTAGACAAATATCTTACAGAGAAAGTCAGTAATTCTAGTCCCTGAACAAGTTCCCCCTGAGTGCAAGGTATCCGCACTTTGGGGCATCCTGGTGGTTATGTGGAGCAGGACAGCTTCAGGTGAGCCGTGAGGGAAGTGCTTCCTGCTTCTGTGGCTCCAGGCTGGCGACAAACACCCCCGAGTTGAGCCATTCTCCTACCACACCCACTAGCAATGTTTGGGATGGCAGGTGCTCCATTAGCCTGGGTCCCAGGCTAAAGAAGTAGGGAATAGGACCCCTAATTACCTGTCCTGTGTTTGTAGGATGAGGAAAAAAAAAGGTTTTTTTTTTCATTATGAGTTGCTAAATTGCAGCACACCCCACTCTATGCTGACTAGAACACACACGTTACTTCACTTCCTCTTTTTAACCAGCTAATACATGTGGAATTCTTTTACTAATTGTAATAATGCAGACACAAAAAAGAAAAAGAAAACATTTAGGGAGATAGGATACCTCTTCCAAATAAATAAATAAGAATGTCAGGTCTGCAGTTCTAAACCTGGCATCAATATTATCGATCTTCTATCTTTTTATCAGTGAATGTTCTGCCACATAAGTATGAAATTTCAGTTAGCAATAGCTGCTGTTTAGTGTTATCTGAAAGAAAGTATAGAAGGAAGGAAGGGAAAACACAGATAGAAAGAAAGAGAAAAGAAAAGAAAATTCCTCCTGCATGCTTAGAAGGCCTGTTGACTGAGTTTGGTGTGGTTGGAGGAAGAGGTGGTAATTGCTCAGCATAAAACAGTCCTTTCCTGTCTCTATTTCTGTTGCACAGCAGTAAACATGCGGGAGAGTTATGGAGCAATGAAAAGACTTTACTAGTGAGACTATTGGTTCTAAGACTAAAGGTAAATGAGGGTGTTTCTTTAGACTATCTTGAAAAAAAATAAGAAAAGTGGAAATTAAACCAACTTAAAGCAAATGACTGATAGGTAGATTCTCAGTGTATTATGATGCCCAGGAGTGGAAAGTACAGAACCATAATGAAAGGCTTGAAACAAGAAGCAGGGCTCAGGAAAAAAAAGTCTTAAAACCAACAGAGCTAAGGATTTGAGAAAAAAAGAATGAAATTATTAAACCACTTCATAAAAACGGAAAATGTTTTCATCATTCTTATGCTGACATCTAAATAGTAATTGAAGAAGAGAAATATATTATTTTCTATCTTCTATCACATCAAGCGCTTTGAAATCTACGTGGTTTTTCTCCTACAATATATCCAATGCGGTGCTTACCATTGTTTACCATTGTACCATGCAAACAAATAAAAATATGACAAATACAGTATATGCGATTTAATTTGCTTTAATTTAATTCTTTGATTTTCTCATAAAATGAACTCAAACTGAATGAAAATGATAAAGCAAAGTAAGATATATATGTACCACATTTTCTTTCCCCAGTCTCCCAGTGACGGGCATTTGGGTGGATTCCATGTCTTTGCTATCACGAACAGTGCGGCAATGAACATACATGTGCATGTATCTTTGTAATATAATGATTTATATTCCTTGACTATACACCCAGTAATGGGACTGCTGGGTCAAATGGTATTTTTGGTTCTAGATCTCTGAGGAATTGCCACACCATCTTCCACAATGTTTGAAGTAATTTTCTTTCCTACCAACAGTGTAGAAATGTTCCTATTTAACTGTAAACTTGCCAAATGTGGTACATATACACCGTGAAATACTATGCAGCCATAAAACAGAATAAGATCATGTCCTTCGAGGGCACATTGATGGAGCTAGAAGCCATTGTCCTCAGCAAACTAATGCAGGAACAGAAAACCAAACACCACATGTTCTCACTAGTAAGTAGGAGCTGAACAGTGAGAACACGTGGACACAGGGAAGGGGAAGAATACATACTACAGCCTTTCCGGGGGTGGGGTTGGGGGAGGGAGAGCATTAGGAAACACAGCTAATGCATGCTCGACTTAATAACTGGGTGTGGGTTGATAGGAACAGCAGGCCACCATGGCACATGTTTACCTACATAACAAACCTGCACATCCTGCACATGTACCCTGGAACCTAAAATAAAAATGTGTTTTTTTTAAAAAAAGTAAGCACAAGAGTCCAAACATAAGAAAAACAGGAGGCTGGATGGGCTATTCCAGCACAGAGTGATGGCAGAATTGAATAGTTCTCACGAAATATGTCACGGAAGGATTCCTAAAGGAGCGGAGTGATACAGAGGTGAGCACCCAGGTCCTCCCTAATGAACGTAGGATGTAAACAACTTTTAGGATCCTCCCACAGAAGATCTATGCTCACCATGTGACTTAGTGTGGCGCCTCGGGCCAGGTGGTATTGCTTGACTCTGGGGGGGCTAGAGACTAATGTGAGGCCCATGGGGGCTCAGTCATGTCTATGTGACCTACACCTAGTAACATCTCTGGACACTATGGATTTGGTTGGGGGATACCCCATGGTGTTGTCACACATCATAGCTAGGAGACGTCAATACTCCAGGCACCCAGAAGCTCCACACTGGGTCTGTCCTGTCCCTGCTCCATGCGCCTTTTCCCACGGCTGATCTTATCCTGTGTTGTTTCACTGGAGTCTATCAGGTTAGCTGAGCGCTGCAAACCCTTCTAGTGGATCCTTAAACCTGAGGGCTATCTTTGGGATCTCAAAACATGCAGTTGTTCTCAAGAAAGGACGTGCAAGGCTTCTGTTTTTATCTGGAAGTCGTCCCATTACTTCACTCCCCATATATTGTGACAATACAGTTTTCTGTAGGAGTAAGAAGGGAGAGGCAACTGTTTGAGGAAAGGGTCAACACGAAAAGCACAGAACATTCCAGGACCAGAAATCGCTTTGTAGATAACCTTTTAAATATTTTCTATTTATATGCATATGAGGTTTTAAAATATCTCTAGAGGTCAGGCATGGTGGCTCACTCCTGTAATCCTAGCACTTTGGAAGGATGATGCAGAAGATCACTTGAGCCCGGGAGTTCAAAACCAATCTGGGCAACATTGCACAACTCCGTCCCTATTAAAAAATAAAAAAAACATCAGCCAAGCATGGTGGCACACATCTCTAATCCCAACTACTCTGGAGGCAGAGGTGGGGAGAATCACCTGAGGCCAGGAAGTCAAGGCTGCAGTAAGCTGTGATCGCACCACTGCACTCCAGCATGGGCAATGGGAGTGCGACTCCGTCTCAATTAATAAATAAGAAAGTATATTACTAGAATCATCCTGGCTAACACAGTGAAACCCCGTGTCTACTAAAAAATACAAAAAACTAGCCGGGCGAGGTGGCGGGCGCCTGTAGTCCCAGCTACTCAGGAGGCTGAGGCAGGAGAATGGCGAACTCAGGAGGCGGAGCTTGCAGTGAGCTGAGATCACGCCACTGCACTCCAGCCTGGGTGACAGAGTGAGACTCTGTCTCAAAAAAAAAAAAAAAAAAAAAAAAAAAAAAAGAAAGAAAGAAAGAAAAGAAAATATATTACTAGAAATAAAGGATATAAAGTACACCCTGAAGCAGTATGGCATCCCACAGCCCACCAGCACTCCCCAGGTCTGGCAAAGTTAAGCATCTTTGATATGATTGCTCTGGGTCCCGGGCAGCGATGCACTTGATGTTTTGTGACCTGCAACACAATGAACCAATCAGCAGTGGGGCAGCCATTGACTTCCCTTCAGGATTTGCAAGTTCCCTTTCCAGAGGTGAAAAGAACATTTCTCTGTAGCTGTGAAGTCCATGTGAAGTGAACATTTGATGAATTTGACTGAGAAGTATCGTGTTCCCTAACCTATTAGGGGCTTCAAGAAAGGCGTGTGCCAGGCTC